TTAAAATATACAACAATAACACTTAATAATTTTGTCATATCAGATTTTCGATCGCCTTTCATATTTTGACTCCATTTGCAGGTCAAATGGATATAAATGTGCTCTGCTAAAACTTTCAAAATAAATTCCATACAATAAAAATTGATTTCACAAATCGTCCAAATAAATATGAGATTAAAGCAAATATTTCTTTCTAAATATTTATGTTTCTAGGCTACAAGATTGACCAATTGATAAATCAGGCCGATGACATGGAAGCATTATTTTAAGGTTTTCCAGACGGTTATCCAGAATAATATCGCGGCACGATTTTGCGATTTGCTGTGGAAGTGCGAATGATAAAAGCGAGCGACATTTCAGGCATTACGGGGAAGGAGCGATCGACAAGACCGATTCGAAAGTGCTTTGCGGACCGCGTGTTGGCTTGGCTAATTAAGTACGCCGTAAGTTAATTGAGATGCTGCGCGTAGGAGTAAAGCCGAAGATACGAGGGAAACGTTAAACTGTGTAAACATCGAGCTAATTACTTCGAGACTTTATCGCGCCACCCCACCCGAGCTCCGCCGGCGAATGAGTCGAGTGGATGTAAGTGTGCGCACGAAAAGCAGGAAAAGAGGGGAATCGCAGGAGCGAAAAGGAGGAAGGAGAATATTTCACGACGGAGGAAGAGGGTTCCGCGCGGTAAACGAGGAAGGTTGGCGTTTATCGATGGAAACCAAACAGGATTAGAGATGAATTTGTACGCAGTTTGCAGTATCATTCACTGAAACTGACCAACATTTAGCGAAGGTTCTTCTAAGCGGCGTACGATAAATTATAATAATACTTTGAAGAAAAAAGAACGGTATTAAATTATACAAAATGATCTTAACTTTGAGATTCTCTTGTATTGAATTTACTTGTATATGAATTCATTCTATACAATTATTTTTATTTATTTGAAATAATTTCCATCTCTTATTTACCTAAAAGCATACTTTGCTTGCATATTTATTTTTATGTATGCGTTTTAACAACTTTTACGTATATACCTATATATTTTTGGCGCATACATTAATTTACATTTTCTCTCGACAATTATTCACCAAGAACTCTTGTGGCAAAAGGTTAAATAATGCAAACAAGCAAGGTAGAAGGGAAGAAGAAGACGAAGCTTCGGAGATACTCTCGGCGTAGCGGTGGTAACTGCTATTCGCGAAAGGTGAGGAGACACAGTTAATTACTAAAGCGTTTTAATCGCCGACAAAGTTCCGTCCGGGCTATGGAAAGGGCTTCGAGGATGCGACGGCTGTGTAAATTAGGAACTCGCCGGTTTCCTCTTCGCCCACCCTTTCCGCGGTCCGCATTATGTACGCTCGGTCTCTCGAGACGAGTGTCAGCCTAATTTTCGGCAAAAGCCGACTTTTATGTAATAATGCGCCTCCGTCTTTAAATCAACTCCTTTCAAATTACTTTACAAAATCATTCCTGGTCTAATAATTGATAATATTTAATACCAAATACAACTAAATGCAAATTCGGATTTCATTTGAACATAAACTGTTATATTATTGTGATTATTAATATTGCTAAAGTATTATTTTAACGGTAAAGTTATATATAATCAATTGACAACATACTGCTTGCTTTCATTATGTTTTCACAGTTGCAAATAATAAAAATTGCGCAGCATGAAACACGTCAATCCTTCGTTACTCTTTGCTCCGGTTTGATTCTTGCTGTTATTTTCAGAGAAACTTTTATTTAACTCGATATTAAATGCCTCTCTCGCTTTTCCTCTAAACCCCTCCTCTCTCGCCGGTTCCTGGCGCATATTTAGGGGTCGCTGGTTACAGGTTGCCCCGGCAACCACATCGAGAAACCCTCTGTCGTTGCCAAGGCAACCTTCTCCTTCGTCTTCTCACCCTCTTCTCTCACCCGGAGATTCAATTCGAGAGAGCGAGAACGAGTCGGAAGGACGGAAAGGAGAAAGGGTGCTGGTTTCTGTGGAGTAAGAGGAGGAGGAGACCAAAGAGCTAAAACAGAGAAGGGAAAAAAGATGGTGCGCTTTCTGGTGATTATATGGCGCGAGCGAGGACGTGCCAAATGAGGATTTGACCTTGATTAAAGGCGAGCTCTCTTTCTTTGTCTGTCATTATTAATGATGAAATTAAAAAAATGCATGTCCATCATGATAATTTGTTCGGAGTAAAGGAGAAAATGTCAGATTTAATTTACCCCGCACAAGAGTATTTACTTCTCGACAATCACTCAAGTTAGATAATACAATTATATTACGTAAAAGATTAATAGAAAATGAAAGTAAAATTGAATAACTGATACAAAACCATTATGTGTTTATAGATCTAAAATACACACAAGTATCTATTTGAATGAGAACCGATTTATTAATTAAATGTCGATTTATTGACTTTTCAATTTTATATTTATCAAACCTATGAATTGACTTTTCGATTTATATTCATATAGGTTTTATAAATATAAAATCCAAGAGTTAAGAAATTTTACGAATTTTCAAACACTTGATTCTTTTTCCTCAGCCGCTAAAGATGTAAATTCAAGACAATACGGTAAGATGATGCTCGTCGATTCCGGGAGCATCGCGAGACTTAATGGAGCAGATCCTCGTGCGGTTTTGGTATTCGTAGCTGAACCGGGCGAAGAACTTATTCATAAGATTATTCGCCATTTTCGTCATGGCGCACTCTCTCCCTGTGTCGTTATTTAAGTTTTATATTAAAGCACGGTCGGCGCGCTCGCGCGCGGAGCCTCCGGGTATTTGATGTATGACCCGCGCGTGTTCTGGTTCCTTCACCGAGATGCACCTAAACGTGAGATATCGTACGGGATCAATTTTTCATGGCTCCACTTCACCCCTTTCAGCCCCGTTCTTTTACTCTCGCTAAGATGCTCGTGCTTGCGGTTTCTCATTGTTAGTCGAGAAGCGACCGATAAACAATCTAATTATTCGCGTAATGAAATTCCAGAAACATTATATAAATTATTATCTATATACATAAATTTCCAACAAATATTTTGTGCGCTTCTGTGATTTTTATATAACTTTGATTACCACAGAGATATATAATTACTTTTCAAGTAGTTCCAGAAGACTATCGATTATATTTAAAAAGTTAAGTAAAAAGTTATTTTAGATACTAATTGAGTAGGAAAAAAGTATCCAAATCTACTTCTGTAAAAAAATTAAATGATTTAGCTTCTTCTTATGAAAGAGACAAGCCGATAAAATAGCAAGATGATTATATAACTATTTTTGCCACAAAAACGATACTTGAATTATCGCATTCCTAATATGTTAAATAACAGTGGAATCAATTCTTGCAATTTATTTTTCTCTTGATGTAGTTAATGATAGTTAATGATTGCAGCTATACAAAGATTTGTAGCTATAAAATATATTTTATGATTATTAAAATATGCATGTGTCAGCTATGTAACGACTGATGTATGCGTATATTCGTGTTCGGTAAATACGTTTTGAACAATATATTAACATACATAACATTACAAAGATTACGTGTCGCATATTTTTGGATCAATTTAAGATTAATTTACATAAAAAAAAGAAAAACACTGAAATTTTATTTAGACACAAAATAATGAGTTAAAATGCATTATCTGGTGTCATTCTGGCAATAATATTCAGTGATGATAGATGAGCGCTGTGCTCTTTCGGTCCTCGTCGACGAGCGGACGAATCGCGTGCTAAATAACTTCGCTAACAAGCTGCCACCGCCGCCACTGTGCAAAAAAAGATTACGTAAGCGGTAATGGCCGCCGGCTCCTCCTAAATTCGAGAACGAAATGTTTCGGCCGAGCGAGCAATCCGAGAAAGAGGGCAGAACGGATGGGCAAGCGCACGACTCAGCTCAGCTCTAGTGGGGAGGGGGTTAATTTTAATTTCCCAATTTTTCCCACACCGACGCAGCGCAGGTAATTTCCTTCCCAGCAGAGAATAGATGTAATTACTTAACGCCTCCGAGCTCCTTTTATTAAAAGAGGATCGCGCCCTCGGGGGCTGGAGGGGCGGAAGAAACTCCGAGTGGGGGTTGCCGCAGGAGTGGTGGTGCGTGATCATGAGGATGTCTCTTCCTCGCGAACTCGTCTGTCTGCTTGAAGCCCCAGACAGTGAGAAAGAGACATCGAGAGAGAGAGAGAGAAGAAAGAGGGAGGTTTTTTAATTTGGTTAATTTTATTAATAAGATTTTTTATGTGGAATTCTGATAAGAGCTGATAATTTAAGGTTCTTTTAATTTAGAAATTTCCTGAAAGGTGTTTATAATTTACGCGGTTATTGCGACAGAAGCTAAAAGTCTTTTAGCATAATTTATATTATTCTTTCAATATTCTTGTCATGTAGTTAATTCGACTGTTTGATGCGTGTCTCACGCTAGTGTTAAATGCATCTTTCATATTAGACGAATAAAACTCAAATTGTTGCATTGGCAAATCAATGATTCGAAAATCTATTTTGAAAACCTTCATTTGGATAAAAGAAATAGATAACAGGCAGGACAATAATGTGGAGCAATAAACAACCGCGCAACTCGCTGATACATACTTTGGCTGTCCATTACAACGAATCCAACTCGGATCGAATTCGAGTGCCTCGACCGATGAGATCAGCATGAGGGTGTCTCGGTAGAGGCTGTGGGAAGGGAGGAGCCATCTTGCGGCCTGTTTCAGGGCAGCCACCAATTGATTCGCCCCCACCAGCCGCTACGACCAGGCGTCGATTCAATTCCAGGACGAAAAAAGCGTCCTGGTAGGCGTAGCCGACTGCGTAATTCCTACCACCGCATTGGCCATGTGTTTCATATCACTTGCAAGTCCGCCGTGCACCCAGCCAATCGGCGTTCTCTGGGCGGATCCCGAGACCAGTTTCCGCTTCGCAGACAGTGGGGAGTCGTTGACTCGAGTCTCCGGGCAGATAGTGTTGTGCCGTTGGCTCATGCCGTAGTGGCCCTAATACCAGCAGGTCCTTGCTGCCAAGGAAATCCCGGAGACCCGCCTGTCACGCGCACGAACCCTCGCGGGCCGCGAGCACCCCGGAAGTTCCCGGTGACGTGACGCGGCTGAGAAAGTGTCACGAACGTGCGCGGTGATCGGTGATTTGATCTCGCGATCATGCCGAAAAATACGCGAGTCATCGAAAAAATATTGCATTGAATATATTCTGTGAATCCTGTGAGCGAGGACTTCTAGTGACACGTCAAAAACTATGAAGAACTTTTGGAAAAACGTTATCGTTGAAAGTTATCAAACTTTAATCGACGAGATTGGCGAGTAAAGCGCTGATTATATGTGGTGAAATTGAAATTCGGAATTGTTGATCATTGATGATTATTATGATCGACATATATTCCGATTCGAGATATTGATCGGACTCATTTAGAAAGACTAAAGGCCGCGAAAACGCCGTGAGGCTGGCCGACGGCTGGCGGAGCTCTGCCAGTCGCCGACTTGACAGGCAGGTGCAGCAAGAGAGGAATGCAAGATATGTAAAATAGCGTTGCTAGCACAAAATCGATAGCGGACTACGAAATCGATTTGTCAATTCAACGAACAATAGAGAAGAAAAACATTAGGAATATGTAAACTATCGAAACTTTTAAAAGCAATAACAATCTCGTGTTAATTCGCGGTTTTTTACAATTACTTTATCTGACAAAAATCAATAATTGTGATGAATATGTATTATAATCAAGAAGACCTAGAATGGAAAATATAAAACAACATTCAAAACAGCGAGATAAAAAATTTCAGAAACATTTTCATGAATTTAACAGTCGAGTGATTTACGGACAGTGATGATCCATGGACTGTATTGCTCAGTGATCGTGCTCCAAGAGGCGAAGAAAGAAAAGATGTGAATGCGCATCGATCAGAGACATCTAACAATTGCCAGATACCTCTTGCACTTCTGACGAACGTATTTCAGTGTATTGTCAGTGATTAGGTGATTCTATCTTTTTTTTTTGATGATCGAAGACTTTATCGAATCTGAGAATTGATGCGAGCAGAGTGATCGCTCTCCGAGGGAGAGACAAACGTCGGCGAGCTGGTACCGAAGATGGTCCTGGAGCCTGGAGGCGGCTTGTCTTTCCCGTTGCCGCCCGGCGGCGGCTCCAGCGCCTCCGGCGGATCCTTACTAGCGCCGACCAGATTGTTTCAACGGACGACGCCCGTGTTTCCGTTCCATCTAACAGGATGGCCGCCGCATCATCCGGTTCTTGGGCAGGTGCAGAGCCAGGTCCAGCAGAGCATGCAGGCGCAGCATCAAGCCGCTGCCGCAGCAGTCCGATTCCTCAGCCATCATCACCCGCATCATCCACATCCGACATTGAGCAATCATTCTTTGGTACCGGCGATTACCGGACACCACCCCAGCGTACATCATTTGCATCATGCTGCTGATCATGGAGAAGAGGATGACGAGAAAAAAGGTGAGTTGATATCTCGTAGTATAATAAAACGGCACAAAGTTGATTTAGCATGAAATTAATATTGAATTCAATGGAAATTAATTTCTTTCTAAAAGAAAGAATTGCCTAAACTTATAATATATATTGTATTTTCAAAACATATTATGAATATTTTTAAAAATATCCTTAAAGTTTCTTTCAAAATCTTTTAAATAAATTTTAGAATTTTATATATCTATTTTGAACACTTCTATGTTCTGAAACATGTTCAGTTTGTATCTAACAGATTTGCGATTAAGATATTGATTAGTTATAATTGTATTTTGAGAAAAAAATTATTACAATTTTGGAGCATTTCTTTGTAATTACGGTTTGAAGTGCGTTGATGGCGGCAGCGTTTCCGAAATAGCCTTTGAAAAACGGTCTTCAGGGAGTGGCGTAACGCGGTCAATCATAAGATCGTTCCTGACGAGCCCCTGGGATCGCTTACGACGTTAGTCTCTATCCTCTTTCCCCGCCCTTCCCGCGACAACCGCCTGTCTGAAATCGTGTTTCGTGCGCGAGAATGTCCGCGCGTTGCCGAGGGTGGAAATCTGTTTTTTACGTGATCCCATTCACGTCCCTAACACTTGTTTATGCCTCGAAGGGAGCGCCACTTAATTCGCCTGCCTTTGGCTTTCGATTGTTTCCTCTGCAAATTTATCGCGCGCTACCGCAAATTTGCATGGATTGCTGATCTTCCGTCAGACAAAAGTTCAAATCTATCGTAAGTTATTAAGTAATTAAAATAAAACTTATATCTAAATTGTAGAATTTTAATCCCACTTCTGATTTTAACCGCAAGGATATTTTTGGAACAACCGATACATAAGTATATATGATATACGTTTTCTAGCATTAATATTTCTACAAAATTATTTTGTTTTACAATCCGTAAATATTATCCTACTTTTGATTCACGTGTTGTGGGATAGAAATTGTTTTTAAATAAGATGGTAACAAGATGATCATTGTAAAAATATTAATAATTGTAGAGTTATAGCGCATAGTAATTAGAAATTCTTCAAAATTCAATAAAATCTAAATATTCTGAAGAATACATCTTTAAAGGATATCAATAGGTTAACAAAACATTAAAATAATAATTTAGCTCAATTAAATCTATTTGAAAATTTAGAAATTTAATTTTAGAAATTTAGTTATTAGCATATCTAATTATAATGCTATAAAATTTTCAATAAACTGTGAAATTATTGAAGAGAGGTATGGCAATTTAACCTCTTCAAGGACGATTAAAAAGGGTTGTAGAAACATTCAATATATCTATGATATATTTGGAAAAATTATATGTCATATACGTTTCTTTATACAATTTTTGATATATAAATTTGTTTACTTAAATTAAGGAGATTTCACTTAAATTACTTACTATTAATCTCTTCAAGGATACTGGCACATATGTGTATGTTTGGTTTTATTTAATTTAAATACAATTGACAAAGCTTTGTCAAAAATTACCACGAATAAATACTCATCACAATATTCCAACAAAATAAAATTAACACTTGACAAACGATTCTTAGATAATTGTAAATAAATTTTGAATAAATGTTATAAAAAGAATAAAGTTTTCGTTACGACTTTAATGGATTCGTTCCAGAAAAGATTAAATTGCCATATTTCTCTTCAATAATTTCACAGTTCTTTTGCAAAAGCATATGGCTGAATAATGGTGGTTTCGCCGATTCCGCAAAAATATGCGGAGATTCGTTATAATTGCATAATGATTTTTACGTCGAGGAGAAGTATTTCGTTCATGCACGTCGGCCGAGCACGCGAGAGCGTGTATCAAATCGACCCGCCGGTTATTTCGGGATTTATGAAAGCTCCCATCCTGCACCATGATAAATAGTTTTATTGGCAATGCCGGCAAAGCGCGTAATTGCGAGTCTACTCTGATCGAACGTCGTCCGCCGAACGTCCTTTATGGCGTCACGTCGTAGCGTGAGCCAAGTTTAATACCTTCCTTTGATACGTCAAGCTGAACCAGATCCGCCTAACGATCTCGTGATCTTTCGTGTAATTTTTCTGACGTGAAAAATATTCATCGGTAATGAAAATCCAAAAGGATCATATTTTATTCATTTGCAAGTAAGATATCGGGTGATATAAAATCCACGATAAAATCTCGTACATAAAATGTATCGAACAATTCGTTAGAGAGCTACAGACATTTGGAAGCATCCCTAGTAAGAAGAATTCCATAAATTTTGCATAGTTATTATGTTGTGAGCTAAAGTCATTTCAGTGGCTAAGTGTTATAGACGATAAACTCACATTTTATTCAAATATAAAGAAGATATGTATTTAACAAGAATTTCTGCGAGCCTCTCAAATGCTAGAAATTGCAAATTGGGAGTATATGGCACTGATTTGTAGAAAAATAATATCACTAAAAATATTGACTTAGATAGATGGAGTAATATTTTTACCTGTGATATTTTATAATTTAATCTAATATTTATTTACGTACAAATTTTACATTTGTACGTAAATAAACAACGATTAAGTATTATTTTAAAGTTTAATATATATAAAGTCTATTTACTCAGTAAAAGCCTTGAAATACTGAAGCAAATCTTATAACAATTAATTCAAAAATATTTTCTTATAAATTTTCATGATCATTTAGAAGAACAATTCATAGAAATTTATACTTGCACAATTCTTACAATTCGGTTTTGAAAGAATTAAAATAAATTTGCTTTGAAAATGATGATCATATCTAAATCGAGGTAAACACAACAAGGGAAACCACATCATTCGTTCCACGTTCCGGGAGTTGCGTTCCCTACAATTGTGCGCATTGTATTCCGCAGGTCAACATTTAATTACACCGATCCTCAATTAAACATTCACGGTGCGTTGCGATTTTATCCGAATTGATGTCGTCCAACGATACGCCGCATGAAACCGCGATCTTTCCCTCTCTATCCCTCTCGCTTCGCGAAACTCTCGTTTACATAATTAGCTTGGCAGCGGAATGCTCGCGGACTCGCGTGCGTACGCCTTTACACGATCGTTAAACTTTTTCAACGTTAGCGCGATCGTTAAGCCAGCGCTTAGCGTCGCCGCGAAATTGCGTCCCGTCGGCGCTCGCGGCGGCTCCCAGCTCACAAAGCCGCTATGCCGCGCAATCCCGTGGTCGTGAATTAAGATTCGCACAAAGAGAGTAGTTCGATTAGATTGAAATGTGTCGTCCTTCGTGTTAATCCGATAAAAAGTGTCGTCACAGACAGCAGATCAATGTCGGCTAACAAAATGTACAGTGTCCCACTGTTATTTTGCGAATTCTGTATAATGGATTGCATATTCTTTTTTTATGGATATTTTGAGCAATTTGGAGGAATATAAATTCTGAGGCATAAATCATTTTTAGGTATGGATTAAAAATAAAAGAATTACATTTTGAAGGGCGAAACGAGCAGAGAGCGAGATGCCGAACATAAATTTCAATTACTTGATACAATTTAAGATTAAAATTTACTCCATGTACATAACTGTTAAATACAAATTTCTTTTTCATTCTTTTCAATCATTTTTATCAATTAAATTTGCAATGTTTTATCAAAGGAATGAGACACTTTAAATGCTTCAAAACTAAGCGTTTTCTTCAAAATTTTAACGTGTCAGATTTATTTATATTTTAAGCACATGTCCACTGATGATTTAATATTACACGCAAAACAGAATATTCTTTAATTAACAAAAAATTCATATATGAAGATTCGTTTTAGAAGAAGCAAATCTAAAGTGCGCAAGTTTGGTAATGCAAATTCCTGTGGCTTAATGTACTTAATAAGTAATATATTTCTGTCTCAGATAAACTGCAAAAGAGTTATTGTGCACAGTTATCGTGTACTTATTTTATCATTAGCAAACTTTTAATATTTTAACAAAAATTCATGAATATTTTTTCATAATTTTACATACACGAAACATATGTAAAAAATTTTATAACAAGTCGTGAGATTTTATTTTCTTCAAAATGAAGTTCCTATAAAAAAATGTCTAGATTCTACCTCTTTTTTTCTTCTAGGGCTGGTCAGAAACATCTTTTTATTCTCTTCTTCATTTCGTAATTATATATGCACATTCACAGATTCTCAGTTTACAAACACATCCGTTAATCTAAGTTCATACCTGCCCGCTCTCATTATTATTATATCTTAACCATCGATCGAACTGTCCAAGTTAGCGCGATCCAAACAGTATAAGCCAGAAATAGATTGTATATAATGATTATAATGAATTTTGAATTTCGTCGCGCTTATATTTGTCACACTTGATAATCTTTCAGACAATCTTATTAGAGCTAAGTAATAATAATTTCTGCATTTCATGTAATAGCTGATGGATATGCGTATTTATGGAAATTTTTGTTCCATCATATTTCTCCATCTTTTTTCTCCTTTTTTTTGCCCCTTTCTCTCTCTTTATCAGGCTATATATCTTAGCAATTGTGTAAGTCATATCGTGTAAAGTGTATCTAAAATAGCCGTGTTTTATAATGTGTTGAATCAAGTCCAAGAAAAGAGGAAAGAAATGTATAAACGTTATATGAATAGTTCCTTGATTATAATCTCTCAAAGCTTGATGTATTTATACATATCATAACTCACATATTGCATTAGTAATATTAGTTATGATAGTTATTAGTAATATTACTTTCAGAATGATTGGATTTTAATTACCGTTTTAAGCATCGTACACTACGCGTGGCAATACATCATAGTGGATATTCGAATTGTTTATTACGTATGCTTTCACGTTCAAAATAATAGATCTTTGAAATACAGATTCAAAGAAGAAAAAATAAGCTAATATTAATGTAGAATTTGCAAATTAATAATTTTTGTTCAATAATAAAAAAAAATTGTATTGTATGTGACTGTTAGCGAGCATCATATCACGGCGTCATTGACATTACAGAATGAAACAACTTATCTTTTTTTAAGCCGGACGATTAAATGGACTTTTTCTTCCGGAAGACTATTTCTTCCTGAAATTGAGTTATTTAAAGATAGCCGTAGACCTGCACTCCCTCGTTCACCCGTGGATTGTAAGATATCCCCTTGATTATAGCGAATAAAATAACAGTGTCCATCACTGAAAGAAACGCAATGTGCTCGGAGGGGCGCAAAAGAGGGATGCAGCTGAGATCAAACGAGTCGGGTTTCTTTGGTAAGCGGTCGCGTTATCGCAGCATCCTGTCATTATTTTACGATTAGACCGATGGAGGAGGCATTCGGGTAGTTGACAAAAAAGAGCGACGGATCTTGACAGAGGGATAGTGTGAGCAAGAGGGTAAGAGATGGGGAAGAGAGTAGTTTACAAAATATATCGTGGATTACAAAATCAAAATAAAATAAAATTTGGAGAGCAAAACTTGAAGCAAAGCGCAGAATGTTGGAGCCAAAGTATACACAAGGCTCATAAGATTTACACTTTGAACAATACATTGAAATTAACTTTAAGTTGAAGTGTTTCTACATTTTATTTTATTTTGTAAGTTTGTATATAGTTGTCATTTCAACGTTCTGCGTTGAAGAGGAAGTTTAAGCGGCCGAGGAACGGGGATTTTAAAAGATAGCACTTTAGTGCAAAACCAACCGGATTTACTGTGTTTTTCCCGTAGACATTGTTTTTTCTTTTCCCTCCGGAAAAAGTAGCGAAACAATTCGCGAGATACTGACTCGAGTGTGTAATGTAAAACTTAATATTAACCCACCATACTTTTAAAACGTGTTAATCAAATATTGTGTTTGCGAGTATAACGGAATATCCCATGCATATCATACAAAAATAATGATTAAACTACCATTTAATACCAACTATTGTTGCATCGGGTATTTGTCATTGTCAGTTTCGTGTAACACAAACGTATCGTTATGGAAATGTCTGATCATAATAATAAATATAATCGGATGTATAAAATCGCATCGTGTCATCGCGTCGCGTGTTTGTTAATGCGATAATTCAAAGTCGCGAGTTACATGCCTTTTATGTTTGAAATTATCGCCGCTCGGATAAGTGCAAATTGCGAATAATCTGGAAGATTTCATTGGGTGACAAACATATGTTGTTAGCAAAGCCACTCATTAGTGGCGATAATAATTCGCTTTATGTGAAATGGCATCGAAAATCATGTGTTTTCGCTCATAGAGCTGCTGACAATACTATTAAAATATCGATAACATGCGCGCTCCATTAACTCCATTAACTAATAGGAATTCTTTATTGCATAATCAGTTATAAACACATGAAATATAGCTGCAATTTTTATGAAAATAGTACAAAATTATAAAGAATATTTCTGAGTTTTTAGAAGAAGAAAATGTTGCATGTAAAGAAAGATGTAACAATGTGTGTGCACAATATTTTCAGAGCGAATCAATCAATCGATTTCATTACAAATTCAGAATATAAGTTTTAGCAATGTAAAACATTCAAAACTTTTTGGAAAATATTTTTCATTAAATTTACAATTTTTGTGTAACATTTTTTTAATTCTGAAGATTTTAAACCGATGGTTTAAGCTTCAAGTTTAAGTGCTACAGTAACATACATATATTCGACATTTTTGTCTCAGATAAACTGGAAAAGAATTATCAAGTATAGATTTATCTTTTTTCAAAAGGCTTTCATATGTCAAAAATTGATGTATGAAAATGGAACTTTAATTAAAAATTGACATCCTGCGGCCGATTTCTTCAAAGGCCTCGATGTATTCTTAAATTCTGCGTGTCAACAAAGGTATCGTCACATAAAGTAACGTTTGAGAAACCGCAGAAATCTAATTTGTCGTAGATTCCTCGAGTTCTTGGGACTCGGAAAGTTTGCAGGACACGACCGGGATCGTCATAGTCGCGGAGAAAACAGGCAGGCAAAACGCGCGCGCGCGCGCGCGCACAGGCTCCGCGTAATAACTTAATTTAAACTAAACTACAGTTTAATAATTCTCCTGGCCCCGGGTCGGCCGTGGAAGATGCGCCGGCAACCGGCAATTTCAGAGCCGCCGTTAACTGCCGGTCGTTAGTCCCTTTTCAAAACTCCTTTCTTTCTTTCTCTCCATCCCTGCGCTTCCCTCATGCCCTCCCTCTCGTCCCACTTACCCCCCTGCCCTGGTCGTACCCTCGCGCGGCTTCAGCTACCAGCGCTCGGTCACGAGCTAATTTTCGAGCGTGGCTTGCGTGTCGTGAATATCGCCACGGGCCCTCCTCGGAAATACTCGCGCGGCGCAGCGTGGTGCGACCGACAAATTGAATCGTCCTCGTCTTTCGGTCGACCGGGCACCTTGCTCCGAAATACCGGAGCTGCGCGATCTACCAATTCCCGCTTCAGGTTTCATAAAAGGATGACTCAATAATGACTTTGATTCTCAAATTGCCTTTAGCACAATTGTCCGAATCTTATATTTCTCGCTAAAAACAAGTCCTCATTTTTTTATTCTAATTATATGTATATCTTACTTTAGGTATGCCGCATGTGCTAGAAAAATTATTTTTTTTTAATAATCATATAATTGAAAAAAATAATAAAAATATAACACCGATTTTTATTATTTTCTGGAAAGTCTAGGTTTGAAAAATTATCGAAATAATTCACTTCGGAGAAGTTCTATAAAATGCCTTCTATAAATAAATATATAAAAATTTATCAGTAAATTAAGCGTTCGTGCACTCGCATCCTCATGATCCTTCCATCTCAGAATCTTTGATATACAAAGGATCATGCGAGCGTAGGCCAAGCAGCCAGTCAGGCGCTTACGAAGCGCCATGTCTGCAAGATTCCTTATCGCACGATTTCTTGTGTGACCAGAAAGAGAGAGAGAAGAAAAAACATTAATTAAATAGTTTGAGTTATGATGCAGAGTGGGGGGTGGGTGGGATAACGGATGCATATAGTGGGAAGATACGGCTGACAGACTATAAATACGTCATATTTATATGCCCCGCTAATTGTCTTTGATGATAAGAATCTCTCTTTTATTACTTTCTGAGTTACTTCGCCAATTTTGCGACGTTGCAACTCCCTCGTCTTTCTCCTCCCTATCCCTATCTGGCGTATAAATGTCTTGCAAATGCTATGTCGCAAACTGTAAAACTCCGGTTCGCATGGATTCAATTCTTATTATTGAAATATGAAGCGCTTTTAATTCTATATAAATTCACAAAAATTGAAAGAATTATATTATTTTCGTTTAGTCTTCAATATAATTATATATAATTTCAATATTATTCAATATAATTAAGAGCATTAATGACTGCAATAACAGAGTATTAGCAAAATACGTATAAAATGCATTTATAAAATACAAGAATTTAATTAATCTTTATAAAATGACAAAATCTTCATAAAATAATTGAATAAGTCTTTGTAAGATTTTTTTTAAGTGATCTTTATATCATGCACAATTATTTCATTTGCATTTTAATGTTCGAAAGAATATCTCCGACTCAAACAATTTTTCCGATCCTCAAAGTTGTGCGGCGACTAAGCGGATTGTTCGTCGTAAATTAAGACGCTCCCAAGATCGCACATAATTACGCGGGAAGAGAAGTGTTTATCAGCCGGCGCGGATTTTTCATTGCGGCGACCCGCGGCGACAAAAATGAATGAACGTCGGCAAACGTAAAGTGTCAATAAGAGAAAGAGAAAAAGAGAGACAGAGAGAGAAGGAAGGAGGAGAGAAAGATATCACTAGAAAGTATTTCAAATAAACTCACCCGTTGTGTCGGTCACAATGCTTTCCACCTCTTAATGATCTTGTTCTTTTTTGGAATTAACCCTCCCCGCGATGTTGTGCGGCACTTAATGTCTTCCCTCGGAGAATATAAACGGTCGGATGATTTGTGAAGCAAAACGTCGTGGTGGAGAACGGTAGCTAAACAGTACAATGTAACACAAATTCGCTTACGTTAGTCGTTTAATGTTTTTCGAAGAATTCATTTCATTTATTTTTGACAGTAATAGTGTATAAAACCGGTTTATACTGATAATACTAATCGTAAGATTGGAGAGATATCAACATAATAACAGTTATTCTAAATAAAAAAATTTTTCTTTAAAAAAAGATCAAAAATTAGCTCATTATTAATTATTATTAAACAGTTTGGATCTCAAAATCGAACGTCAATAATTGAACCTTTCGAAATGGTTGAAACTGTTTAAATCAACTTTTCAGATAAAACAATTTGGAAATTGAGATCTTCGAAACACAAAAGAAATGAATGAAGCCACTAAATTCTTCACAAATTTATCCTCATTCATTCATTTCATCAATCCTTCATAAATTCTAAATAACAACAGATCTTTTCAACAAGAATTTATACGACAAATGTGTAATATGAAATATTTATCAGAATTGATGTATAACAATTTATAAATATTAATCTGTAATTAATTATACTCTTAATCAAAGTTTGAAAATTATTCATATCCATAAATATTATAGCCTACAATCTAAAAAATGTCCACCAGTTCGACATCTTTAAATGTTTGACACGTATAAAAGATTGAAAAATGTGTATATAAGAATCAATTACCAGAAATTTTTTATGTAACATTTAAAATTTTAAATTTTTTAAAACTTAAAATCTAAATTAAGATTTTCAAAATATATTGCAGCGATACATGGTTTGTTTCCAGTATCTTCACTATAATTTCGAAATTTGGCATTCAACGAATTTGAGAGTTTCTGTACTCAATTTGGGAAACGAACGAGTGAAAGAATGTAAAAATAATCTATCGACGGATTTGAATTTATCGCGCGAGGCACGCCTATGTCTGTATCCGATAAATATAACCGCGGGGTTGGCATTTGCATTCGATTAATGGACGGACCGTGATAAATCCACGTTTTTACGAGCACGCGCACCGAGAAAATTAACATTTTCAGCAGTTCGCTATTCTATTATTCGCTACCGACCGCTGTCAAAATTAATGGCGACCTCTAACACATTATATGATAATCGAAAATCGCTAAGTTGTTCCATCGCGTCGAAAGAATCGCAATTCGGCACGTTATTTCCAATGGAATTCGCTTGTCGTAATCTCTGAAATTGATATGCAAATAACATTTTTATTTTCGTGAGAATTTGTGTGTTTATCCACCACAAAGTTAGTTCTGTACTAAAATACATTTTAACTTATCTTAAAATATTAATATAATAATGATCTTATTTATCTATGATTGTTAATACAATTTTTTCTAAAATATTAATAAAATTTATTTATAGTTATCTGACAACCAAACTTTCAAAACTTGTCAAATTAAAAAAAATATCAAAGTTTGTTTCAATTTATGAGAATATTTCAATATTTTATTACAAAAGTATTCAATTAATTATTTATCGAGTTAATTAATAATTAATTTCTTGCTACGTTTGCATTACTCATTGTCAAGAAATATTAGATAAGCTTGATGTAAATAATCGCACATTATATGCAATCGCGCCATTGTCTTTGAATGTGAAATAGCTGATGAGTTTTATCATTTTGCGACTGATAATGAATGATTGGTCATTTAAAACAATCGACTCGTATACCGCCGTTCAAGATATCACGCGACGACGGGGATATAATATCGCGCTTCGGCAAATGACACGCCATGGGGTAACAATCCGTGGTTGGTAGTTAGGGTGGTGTAAGCCAACGCCAAGTCCGGCACGCAATTTCTCCTTTTTAAGCCAAACGCAATCAGCCGAGCGCGAGAACGCTCGTAATGCGCATGCAGAATTATACAATATTGACCTTCCGCAGTACACAGTTCGTATTCGCATTACGTTAATAATAGGTTGATAGAGATAGGTTGCTGCAAAATGCATTACTTGTATCAATAATTTACTTACGGATCTGGAGATTCATATATATACAAACGTACGAGGCAATCAAAAACTTTTTTTACAATTTCTTTGATTGGTTAAATTTTCTTTTCGTAGGAAAAATTCAGAATTGTTAGTTCTGGAAAGTTTTTAATATAAGTAATAAATGTTGAAAGCTGAAAATCACATAATTGTGATTTCACGTGGAAAGAAACACGTGGCTAATCAAAACTTTGTTAAACTTTAAAAGGAAAAATCAGCTTTAAATTCTGAAGCTGAAAAAGATGCGCGACAGCTCCTGCTGTCGCAAACACCCCAACTTTTTGTGTAACCAGAGCTTCGAGCATGATTCGAGGCAATTCCACTTTGGAAGAAACGTCAGAGAGCCGCGCGGTATTTTTTTTACAGCGCTGCTGTATAATTTTTCTAATTGACACGTTAAATAAACACGACGGGTAATTAAGTTTGCGTGCGGGGAGGGCGCCAATAAAAAAGAAGCCGCCGCGAAATAAACACATAAACTCGCAATTACCTCGCGCGTCGCAGAAACAAGTTCAGAATTCGCGGACGCGTGGGATTTAAATGCGAGTATTTATTACCGGCTGGTTAAATTCCTAGTATTTACCGGGAATTAAGAGATACGCGAGCCGCAAGGCCATATATTATCCGGCTTGTCGCCGCGTGTAACATGCGCGCATGTTACAGCACCGTTAGACGCCCAATTCCGACTTTTTCGACGGCTTGGAAAAGCTCTGCCAAGCGGAACGATCTCGTCAAATTAAAATTTATTATTAGATCCAGTTTATAAATTGAATAGATAATTATTGGCAACTATTGGCAAATTGATTATCATAAGTGAAGTAGCCAGTCTATGTAGAATGTTCATTACTTCTCAAAACAATACATTATTTTTATATACCGTGCATACTTGTATTTTGATACTGGAGATAAATTACAACAGTGTGCAATACGAGTTTTATCTCGTATAATATTTTTAGCGTTTTCTGTGTATATTTGTAATGCTAAATTTAAAAATGTAATCAAAATTTCTCTACTTAGTTTTTATTATATTTGAAAATGTGTAATGCATATATGATAATATATCACAAGATAAAATTATAAGAGTTTAAGGAGCCAAACGTTAGATATCAGTGTGCAACAACTGTATTCTATTATAAAAACATCTTATACAAACGTTTCAGCCTTTCTCTTCAGGCCATTCTCAGTGTCAAATAAATTAATTGACATGAAAGTACACTGTTGTTACAATAAAGTGTGCCATTAAACGAAATATAATTAACGCATTAAGTAGAGAAAGTAGAGAAAAGTTAAAACTGAAATTAATTTATATGGACAAAACATTTTAAGTAAATTCAATCAAACTGTCATTTAAATCTCATCTCATGTTTTAAAAAATGTTTATTAATCACTTGAAAATTGTGTTTGAGCATGACTTAAGAAATGACTGATAAATATTATTGATAAACTTTATTTAAAAAAGCAATTGCTGTCATAAGTATGCAACGTTATTGAAATAACTTGCTTGATATGCATGAAAAACCTACGTGATAATACGCTATATTTAGCGTTACAAAAATATATATCGCGTTGAATCGATTGTACTCTTAAGGCCTATAAAGCCCTTAGAGCGGCACTTCCGATCATTCCTTCCCACCGAGCTGGCCGGTCAGCTAACCGGCCCTCCAGCCTTTTGATGCCGGTTATACGTGGCCAAGGATCGCACGCGAAGGTATTAATATATAATTAACCGGCCTGGTTGTAGATCGTATCAGAAAAGCCTCCTTATCGGCCGACCGATACGCCGGCTACCCGTATTATGCGAGGATCTTTTAGTTCGTAGCTCGTTCGATGGCCTTCCTGCAACCACCTCCTTTTCGTTCTTTTCTTCGTGTTCGCGTCCTGCCACTCACATTGTCGCGATGTGTTCTTCGATTATGTTCCTCGATTATAATGCGGTTTCGTCGACCGAAACGATATTATGTCTGGTGTCGGTGATTCAGTTCGCGGTTTGTGATCCTGCTGATCATGAGCATTCGAGGATGTAAATATCTGAAAGATCCGGACAACACGATAACACGTGGTGAATTTAAGAAATCAAGAAGTCGATGGCGAGCACGATCTCGGAGAATAATACTTCCAAACACTAAATCGGGTCGTTGACGTGAATAAAAATAGACGAGTTACGTCATCAACAAACATCGTCCACATTAATTTACGTCTACATTTATTATATTTGATCATGCGTATAATTAAATACGCGTTACATAATAGCGGTGGCTTTGCAAGGCTCGTCTTCATCGGTCGATCCTTTTCAAGCTGACCCGCCAGTTGCCGCATCCCATCTTAATTAGGTCTTCACTTCGGTCATCGCGCAATCAAGATGATCATTTGCATATATTTGCAAACAAGACTTAATATCTCGGACTTGCCGCAGCATTAGCACACGCATAATCGCATCGCGTTATAATCAAGCGAATGTATGCGACTTAAGATAAATCCGAGAGATATATGATGCACTTTTTCCTATATAAATCTCTTTTTAGAAATTCTTTAAAAAATTCTACAACAAAAAGTTATTACTCGATGTTAGATTTAATATTTATAAACTTTAATAATCAATGTATGAATATTTAATTGTTTTAAATATATAAATACTTAAATGTTTTCTTAGGAAAAATGTGATAGAAATATTTAACTCTTATAACCAACATATATGTTCTACTAGTTCTTTGTAAACATACTTTTCGATTTTAAAATAAAAGGAAACGATAAAAGATATTTACTTATTCAGCATTCTATTCTAGTGTTGAAACGCAGTCCGCAAGCAAAAGATAAAAGTTGCAATAAAAATTAATTCGTAAACAGAATGTTTTGTAGATATAAAAAAAATTTTTAATCAATAAATATAAAGTTAACAAAAACATTGCTCTCGCAGAAATTTGCAAATTGGTTGTTAAAAAGTTCACACGGAATTCTTCAACTGCAAATTCTTTTATCCTTTTGTGCTAAACTTTGCCGTATTTAGTTTAATTTTTTTGCT